CATAGACAATGCTCACACCTATCAACTGGTTCGCGACTGATGCATGGCGAGAGAAGTTGGAGAGAATCAGAATCATGGGAATCAATAGACTTCCTTTCATGTGGCTGCTTCGAGATGTGATTGGTTCAATCATAACCACACTACTAACCTCACTCACCATCCCTTACCTGCTCGTGAAGTCTCTGTTCCCGTTGCTTGGATTTTCTCAAAGCATCGATTCAGCTGTTGAGCGGTTTATATGGCCGGTGTTATTAGCCTTGATTGCAGTCTGGTTCATGGCCAAGCTAACACGTGATCTCATTATCTACCTTCACCAATTGGTCTTCAATGAACGGTATTTGGTGGGTGAAAGAGTGGACAATCTGACTGAAGATCTAGTGCATTAGGATCATCCATGGAGTATGACCAACAACGACTTTTGTTCATAGAGACTACAAGTCTACTAATATGTTAGGTTTCAAACTTTTGAGAGTATTTGTCTTAGTTGTCATAACGGTTTATCGACATTTATGTGTATCGGTTCAAATTTTTTGGTTTAACTCGGTTTAACCAACGAAAATCAAATGTGTTGATGATTTGATTTCTTTTCGTTTGTTCATGTTCTTGTCGTGTAGCTTTTCGACGTGGATGCTCGTTACATTTTGTTGGATTTTAATTCATCCTCTCGGATTTACCCTTGAAGTTGCTAAAATTTACAACCCGTACCATTCTCACAGTTCCCAGTGGACTCGAAACCAGAAAACAAAACAAAAAGGCGATTCAAAGCAGAGAATATTAAAATCCATCTGCACTTCGTTGATTCCTATTTTCCCTTTTCCGATTAACGGAGAAGCTGCGATCTATTATCCTTGATCGGCGTCGCTGTCTCGCCGGATTCCTCCAAGCCCTAATCTCTGAACAAGTGAAGAAGAAATGCCGTTCTGGTGGCCATTGATCGTTCTCGCCTTTGCTTACGCGATCTGCAGATTCCTTCTTATGCTCATTCCTCCCAACGTTCCTTCCATTGACGTAGACGCATCCGATGGTATGTCTCTTCCTCTCTTGTCTTAACTAGCTCCTACTTTCGTCTCTGGCTTTTCTCGGTTGTTCAATACTGTGTATTCCTTTGTATGAACAGTTCGTAGAACAAGCTTATCGATGGTTGATTTAATGGTTTTTGGTAATGA